GTGTACGAATTTCTGGGTATTATAAACCTATTGCCTTCAGCAACCATTTTTACCAGTGCTCATATTGCAATTTTTGCTGTTATCAATCACTATTTTTACCAGAGCTCATATTGCAATCTTTTGTTGTTATTATTGCTTTTCTCTGGCACTCCTTATTACCGGTTCCCATATTGTATTAATATCTATGATTGGTCGGCTCATATGTGCTGATTCTTTAAGTTTACGAATTTTCCAATGGTGTTCTTTGTATATGATCTCAAACTGCTCCCACAGAGGGCGGTGATCTCACTTTTCTTCCCATAATTAATGCATGTGTAGAAGCAAGCAGAGTACATATTGTTATCAGCTACTGTCTTGAGGTACGACAATAACCTTTTGGAAATATGCTTATATGGACATTTATATAGTTTTGCTGTCAGGAACCTGCCTCCAGTTTTTGTAAATGTAATTTAGGACTGTATATTGGAATGTACATTTAACAGCATCTACAGTAAAATCTAAACTGAACGCAAAAATGAAGGATTTGCGGACATATGTTTATATGGACATTTGGCCTTGGTTTTGTGTGAGGAATCAGCGCCCAAAGTTCGTTAATGTATTTTGATATATCCTGTATATATTCCCAAAGAAGGCAAAAACATTTGTGAAATCACACTAATTCCTCTTAGTATTTAAAATTTGGCAACGTTGTCAGGGAGCTTAATACAATTACTGGTATTTTGAAGGTATTTTGATTTCATCGAAAATATATTAAAAATTCTAACTAACATCCTTTTCGACCATAAGTGCCTTTAATTTCCAGTGTGACTCAGCATTTGAATAGCAATTAGGAAAGATTACACAAAATCTAAGAAGATTTAAAGGCAGGATCTTCAAGTGTGAATGTATATGTGCGTTTGACTGTTCTTTTTTTCTAAACAACACAAAATAAGCCATTCACATGCATTTATATATTTATAACGTTTAGATCGATGTATGGTTATCGTCAGGCTTATAGGTGATGATTTCTAAAATCGGATTGTGGAAATGAGATTCAATCTCGTCTGTAGCATTCTCTTTTTCACTATTGCCATTAAGAAAAATATAATCTATCTGTTACGCAACCAACTATGGATTAAATGGCAGGAAAGCATGGACCATATAACCATGCATTTGCACAAACTATTAGGATTAGCAATGAGAAAGGCAAAAGAAACCACTCCCACTCTCATTCTATCAAATCTTGCTTGAACCCAATGTTTGATGGCAATGTACACATATTAAAAGATTGGGATCGTCTATACTTGAATCGAATTTCAAATTTAATTTCTATACTTTTATAGATATTTTATTTAACATACACACGCAAGCATCTGCACGCGCACAAACATATATAAAGATATACAAGTTGCATTGGATAAATTTTCGTCTAAATTACGCAGAAATGAAGATACCACTGACATCTCATTTTACCAGACATTTTTACTAATACTAAACAAAAATATCTTGAAATGCGAAATAGTAAATTTATTCAATAAAATCGCCATTGGTTGCAACCACGACCTTCAGATTACTTCGGAATCTCCTGCAAATCTTATGTGTGGTTTCCTTGTTTGAGTTGGAGAAGGCTGCCATAATCTTTGCCTTCATCTTTACTACTAGAAGAAGTTTTGTTGGTCTCTCCCTCAGAGGGGGGATGCATTTGGGGGAGTTAGATGGTCAAATATAAGGGGTGATGTGGTCGCAGAAATTATCTGACAGCCATGATTGGTGTTCCTGCTTGTGTGTTATAGTGGAGAGTCTTGTTGCTAGACATAAAATTTTCCACCTTGATCTAGGGCAGCAATACATCCTAAAGGGAACTTCGTGTTGAGTGTGAGCCTCTGTGGGAAGATGAATGGAGGCATAACGTCGCCATCACAAATGATAACGGCAAACGCCTTAGTAATTAGCATTAGACTCATCAAACTCATTCCAGATCTTTTGCATTGTCATGCAAACACTCTAACATTTTCGTATTGGAGTATCCGGCGCAAATTACAAGTTATATTTACCCTCGTCTCCCGCTTGGAAGGGTATTGCTGCTTTGAAACCTTAAAATTATCATTTATTCTCTAGTTGACCAACACCGCCTGACACGCACCAATAGTTCTGAAACATGATTGCAATTATGTAACGGTTTATAAAATGTTTTTGTTAAAAATTTATATATATATATATATATATATATATATATATATATATATATATATATATTTCGGGTGCAAACTTTCTTTTAAATATGTTTCTGTGATTATTCATTGAATATGGCAGACAAAGAAAATTTAATTAACATTTTATTTAGTTTTTCTAGCATTCAGTCTGGTACGACTATGGGAATGCACACATTGTTCGTATTGTTCATTGTCCCAATCGTTTTTAACGACTCTATTATCACTTTTCAAGACAGTTTGTTTTTTAGGTGTTGTTAATTTCGCTTCATGTTAAACTGTTTAAAATGATATTTTGTGTTGTTTTAAAT